AACTCCCAGAATTCCCCAGCCAGCATTCGCTGGCTGGGGAATTCTGGGAGTTGAAGTCCGGACATCTTCAAGTGGCCAAGGTTGAGAAACATTGTTCTATAGAATGATATGGATTCAGATTAGTTGAAGAACTGCTCGGAAAGGGGATGGAAACTAAAGTGCCCGTATTGTGCCCTGGCAGAGTCTCCAGTGCCTGTGGAGCGCCAGGCGTGGATCTGGTTTCCTGCTTAGAAGAGGCTGGAAGAAGGCAGGGCAGCCCAAATAGCCATGGCAACGGCGCTTAGACTTACAGGCCCCTTTACGGTTCTTTACAGCCCCCGCTAAGCCGTTTACAGAGTCCGCCTTTTGTTGTCATTTCACTGACCTCAGAAGGATGGGAGGCTGTGTCAACCTTGAGCCGGTCCGCATCGAACTCCTGTCTGTGGGCAGAGTCAGCCTGCAATGCTGCACTCCAAGCATCTTCCTAAGGTTCCTCCCCTCGGGAAGCCTATCATCCAGCTTATTATGGGATGGCAGATCTGGGCAACCAGTTGTATTCTAGCTTCTGGAGAGATACAGGATACCCTCCTCAAGCACAAGAATCCCCACCCACCCCCTTCGCTTCCGGCACCCTCCAACCCTTGGAAGCGGATTCCTGCAGAGCAGGAGGCGGTAAGGCGGCCCTGCCGGTGGGCAAGAGGCCTTGGCCTGCAAGGCAGCTCAGGGCCCCAGACCGGCTCCCGGGTGCTCCTTTGACCCGCTTGGCCCTGGGGTGACACCGGCTGATGTCACAGTGACGCCCCCACCTGGCTGGGATAATGGAGGGAGCAGCTCCTGGGCTCAGAAAGCAGGAAGGAAGGTAATAGGAGGGGGAGGCCTGGGAGGGGGCTCTGACACCCACCCATGCTGGGCTTCCAGGGTACCGGTTCGCTTCCCAACCGAGAAAGTCTGTCCATCTCGGAGACTTGACCCCAACCGATTCCCCTTGTTGAGGAAAGCAAGAGATCCCGGGCGTCTCCCCCCTAAGCAGGCCCCTCCTCCTCCTCCTCCTCTTCCCCCTCCTCCATGCACCATGGAGGCCATGAACATGCACCAAGAAGGCGCCCCCCACGGCTGCCCCAGCCTGGCCTCCAACCCCAACTTCGTCTGCGTCACTGCCAAATCTGCCCAGGGCAGAGCCCAGTTTGCGCTGCCTCGGGAAACGACCATCCGGCAGTTCAAGGAGGGGCTTTCCAAGCACTTCCAGTGTGAGAGACGCCAGTTGGTGCTGGTCTTCTTCGGGAGGATCTTGAAGGACCAGTGCACCCTCCAGCAGTGCGGGATCAGTGATGGGATGACCGTCCACCTGGTCATCCGGTCCCCGAAGGGAGGCCCAGAAGACCCTACTCAATCATCCTACATGCCCAGGACCCCAAGCTGCACCCTGGCACCAACCGGCACCAGCCTGACCCTGCCGGCTTTGAAGCCAACCTGCCATGGTTCTTGGGGCCCCCCAGAGTGGCACCAGATGCCAACCTCCGAGATGGTTGTTCAGAAGGTACGGCAGCTGATCTTGGCCAACCCAGAGATCCAGCAGCTGGCTCAGCAGTTCCCTGCCATCTGCCACATCCTGAACAACATGGGCATCATGCGGGTGATCTTGGACAAGATGAGAGAAATCATGGACCTGGCCAAGAACTCTGACGTGGAGCAGGACCTGAAGAACCCGGAGCCACTCCTGCTGAGCGTTCAGAGCAACACTCCCGGTGGAGACAACCCCTTGAGGCAACTCAACAGTGAGGTCCAGGAGCCAGGGCTGAATGCGGGCCAGGGCCCCCTTGCCACCCCCAGCCCTTACGTCACCCTGGCCCGGAACCCTTCTGCAGAACACAAGGCCAGGGACGGCGAGGGAGGAGGCTCCCTGTGCTCCGACTCTTTCCCCATCTCCAACAGCTACGGGAGGTTTTGCACCAACAACTCGAGCAACGAGGAAGGCGGCCTCTTCAACAGCCTTCCCGGCCTCCTTGGGTCTTCCCTGCCCAGCCTTGGGCCCAACCCCGGGGCAGGAGCGGGTAACGTGGGGGGCGTCCAGGCCCTGATTGTCAACCTCTGCAACGCTTACACCCAGCGTGCGATGCTCTCCCTCATGCAGAACGCCCTGCTGGCCAACGAAGGGACGCAGGGCCCCCACCAGGACCACGTCCAGCAGCAGCTGCAGAGCTTCTACCGGCAGATGCAGAGGCCAGAGATGGTGGCCGCCTTGTCCAGCCCAAAGGCCATCCAGGCCTGGGTGCAGATGGAGCAGGGCCTGCAGATGCTGAGGGAGGAAGCCCCGGTGCTCCTACCCTGGTTCCTGCTGCACATGAAGGGCCTAGGGCTCACCTCTGCGCCGGGAGCCCTGGCCGCCGGCTCTCCCTCGGAAGAACTACCGGCTGTTCTGGAGTAGGGGCATCCCCCTCTCTCTTCTCCCGGGAAGGAAGGGGCTGCGCCAACTCCAAGCGCAGGTTGGTAGCCACGGGTGCCCATTGGAGAGGCGCCATCCCCAGGCGGCCGGATGAAGCCGTTCCAGGGAGTCAGAGGGGAACCCGGAGGCCTCCCCTGCGCTGGGGGTGACATCCCTGTCACAGGTTCTTCCACATCTGCTCCGCGCTATAAACCAAAAGTGAAAGACAAGCAGCCTCCCTGCCTGCTCATTCCCACCAGGAAGGGGGCTCACACTCCAGGGCTACTCAGTGGCTCCGAGGGGAGAGGACCCTTCACGGCTGGGGGAGGGGGGCTTTGCCTTCCTTTCCCACGGTCAGGAGTAGTGGGGACGCTCAGGCTGGGTTTGGGGACTGAATTCTATACTTTATTCTGGGAGGCTCAGCCCAAGCATCAGCTGGGCCTCAGGAGTTGACAGGGGGTGGGCACCAGGCCTGGACTGGCAGAACCTTGCTGAGAGACCCTCCTCCTCCTCCTCCTCCTCCTCCTCCTCCAGAGCAGTGGGGGTGGGGTCATTTTCCAGGAGGCCCCAAATGATTCCCTTCTGGAAGAAAAACTGCAAGAGCAACACAAGTTGATTGGCATTCCGTGGCATCCAAATGAGCAAATCAATCAGTCAATCTTGAAGGGGGCGTGTTCTCCATGCCCTCTTGGAGAGTTTGGCAGGGACCAGCTGCTTTGTCCCCTTGGAGAAGCCCCAGGCCCTTCCTGCTCTTTCCTCCTCCCCCCAGTCAGCTCCAGGAGGTGAAGCAGCTGGAAGGAGACTGGGAGGCCTGCAGAAGAGACCGAGGGGAGACCTATGGGCAGGAGGGAGTGGGCGTGTCCTCTTTTGCCCCCAGGGGCAGGGTGGGAATGCCAAGGGAGGCAGTTCAGGCTGGGCATCACCAATAAAACTTATCATCAATAAAATAAATGTGTCATTAGAATGTAATATTTGGAGCTCAGGGTTGAATTGCAGCGTCCTTGGTGCTGTTTGGCCTTGGAGGTTTCCTTGCAGATGTTTGATGACCGAGCTAGGGAACATCATCAGTGCTAGATAGCAAAGTGCAAACAGAGAGAAACCCCCCCTCCCTTCAAGCACTGCTGGTCTTCCCTAGTTGGGTCATGAAACATCTGCAAGGAAACCGGCTCTGAGAGCACCAAGGGGCCCCCGTTCCAGCCCTGCTAGACACATTCTCCTGGGATGGTTACGGGTGACTGGAGAGGCAGGCAGGGTCCTTCCCACAACCTGTCCGTGGACCTGTGACACCAGGGGCTTGGGTGGTGCAAGACCAGAGTAGCCGAGTGCCCAAGAAGCCCCGGGGACTGGACTCCACCCTGCGTAGGTGGAGAGGGATGTTGGCCAAACTTCATGAGGACAAACACCCTGGAGATGTGGTCCACCAACTGTGTCCCAGGTCTCTGTGAGGTCAGCGGTGAGATCACAGTCCAGCCAGGTCCAGGGAGAAGAGATGCCCAAGGCAGCAACAGAGGGGAGGAAAGGAAAATGAAGGAATCGGCCAGGTTGTGAGCACGGAAGAGAAGGGCAACATCTCGCTGGTATGTATGCTCTGGCCTTGGCTGGTGCTGAGACACAAGGGGGCAGGAGACCACTGGCCCCTCCCCACCTCCTCACACGCACCCCCGCCTCACTGGAAAGAGACGTCCCGCTTCCCCTCTCCTCTTTCTCCCCCAGCCTCTGCTCTCTTCACAAGGGCCTTCGCCACCGTCCAGAGCGCGGCCGCAGCCTCTAGCAGCCATGTCCGAGAGCAAAAGAGCCCCTGGGGCCACTGCGAACCACAGAAGCCGGGTCATCAGAGTCACCGTCAAGACCCTCAAGCGCAAGGAGCCATTTGAGGTGGCCGACAGCACCCGTGTGCAGGAGTTCAAGAAGCTGATTGCTGAGCGCTTCAAGACCCCTCCCGAGCAGCTGTCCCTCATCTTTGCTGGTGAGATCCTCAATGACCAGGACACGCTTGTGCAGCGCAAGATTGGCGATGGGTCCAAAGTCCATCTCTTCATCAAGTCCCAGAGGAAGCCCTCGGGCAGCCCCAGGGACAATCCAGCCGCACCCACTGCCTTCCCGCCACCGCCAGCCATGCGAGAGATCTCCTCGGAACACAGCCTGGACCTTTCGGACTGGAGCAGCCAGCCTGAAGACCTGATGGCCTCCTGCCATGAAATTGTGGCCCAGACCATGGAGAACCTTCTGCTCCAGATGGTCACCCTGAACCTGGATGCCTCCGCCTTGAACAGCAACCCGCTCCTCCTGGGTTTCCTCATCGGGGTGACCGGCATGAACGTGCTGGACCTGAATGCCCAGGACGTCTCTGACTTTGTCAGCGAAGCCCAGGAGCAGGACGCCACCCGGCAGGAGCTCATCATCGAAGTGATGCAGCACCCCTTTGTGCAGAACCTTTTTGGGGACACCGAGCAGGTCAGGCAGATGATCATGTCCGTGCCTCAGATGCAGCAGCTGGCCGAACAGAACCCCGAGATCAACCACATCCTCAACAACTCCGAATTCCTACGGGAAATGATCGATGTGGCCACCAGCCCGGCCGTCATGGACGAGATCATCAGGAACCACGACCGAGCCCTGAGCAACCTGGAGAGCACCCCGGGGGGCTACAGCGCCCTGCAACAGCTGTACAACGACATCGAGGTCCCGATGCTGAACGCGGTGCAGGCCCAGTTCCAGGGCAGTTCGTTTCCTCTCTCAGACCCCAAACCTTCCCCTGGGGGGGCCAGCCCTCTCTCCCGGACGGAGAACAGGGAACCCCTACCGAACCCCTGGGCACCCCAACCGAACAGCAGCGGTGGTGACAATATATGCAACGGTGACATCAGCAACGCCGGTAACGGCACTGAACAAGGTTACATCCTGCTAGCGTTGGGCCCCGGAGTCCGTCCAGGGCCTAGCAAGACGGAAAGCATCCAAAACATGGTTCATCAGCTGACGGACAACCTGGAGTTCATGCAGAACATCTCCAACGCCCTCACGAAGCCCAACGGCCCCACGCAGGCCTTCCTCAGCCACTGCAACTCCCCCATGAGGAACGAGGGTCCTCCGCCTCAGGAGTGGGCCCAGCAGCTCCCGTCCAAAGTGGCCAAGTCAGCCTCCGCCCTGCTGCTGACCAACCCCCGAGCGGTCCAGGCTCTCCTCCAGCTGCAGATGAGCCTGCTGGTCCTCACCAGGGAAGTCCCCGATTTCCTGCAGGCTTTGACAGACCCCGATGTCGACCTGGAAAGCATGGAGGACTCTGAGGAGGGGGACAGCCTGTCCTCAGAAGCAGAGAGCTTCATCTCCATCGAAGAGAGCTTGGAGCTGGAGAGCAACGCGTCCAAAGCAGATGATGAAGAAAAGGAGGAGGAGGAGGAGGAGGAGGAGGAGGAAGACATGGAACAGCAAGCGCCAGAGGCCCTGTACCAGATCCAGTTGGAGCAGCTCAGAGCGATGGGCTTCCCCAACCAGGAGCTGAACCTTCAGGCTCTCATGGACACAGAAGGAGATATCAGTTTGGCAATTGAAAAGCTAACAAACTCTCGTGCATCCTAGCTACAGATTTACCTTTGCCTCTTGTAGGGTCACCTGACACACTAAAGTCAGCATGGTGGATATAAACGGTGCCTTTGGTGCTCCTTTCCTCCGGGCGGAACCCTGGGCAGGGAGCCTGGCTCTCCTGGCACAGCAGGGACAGGCAGATGGGCTGCTCCCTTCAGCCTTCCAAGGTGGATCCCTGGGCCGCCAGAGGCCACTGCCGCCTCCGTGGGCTTCTTGGGGGGGAATCTGCCTGCTGAAAAGCCAAGGGAGGGCCTCCAGCCGCCCTGGTTCTCTCCCTTCCAAGAGCCGGCAGGGAGATGCAGCCCCTGGCTTTGCTCAGCACCCTCTCCAGCCACAGAGACGAGCAACGCCAGAAATAATCAGGGTGCAGCAACAAATCTCTCTCTCCTCCTCCCTGTGTGCGTGCGTGTGTGTGTGTCTCCCCCCTCTCTCTCTCTGTCTCTCTCTCCCCCTTTCTCTCTCTCGGTCTCTCCCCCCCTCCAACCTGATTGTCGTGGTTTATATTTTGCTTGTTAATGGCTTCTATTTGGCTTGAGGTTCTAGCGGGATTTTGTAGGCATTCAATGTCTTTGTGTTGATGAGCTGTGCAGGGCTTAGAGGTGGAGCTCTCACCTCACTATCAGGAGGCTGTGAGTTTGGTCCTAAGTAGCAGTAGAGATTTCTGTCTCTGGACACCGTGAGTCTGCTGTAAACTCCAGGTAGGTGTCAGGAAGGGCATCCGGCCAGTAAACCCCTGAGCCCTGTTCAGTCACCCCATCTTCCCCCTGATGCCAGGGACGATAGGGCTGTTGAGAGAGAAAAAGACAGGCAGTCTGCCTTTGGGCTGCTTAGGTGAGCATGAGCGGGTGTGTTCTTGGTATTTTGTGAGGGCAAACAACATTTTGATATGTGGGTTCAGCTCCGACCTTTTATCCATTTCAAAGCCTTTGTCTTCAAGCATCACCAGTTGCCCATCTTTGGGGGGGGGAGTGGAAAACTGTGGGTTCCAAAGAATGGAACCCCCCCCCCCCTGCTTTTCTTTTCATCTTTTCAATTAGCTTGCAAGGAAATGCTTGACTTCTACAGCAGTTGGGAGCCGGGGTGGCGCAGTGGTTAGAATGCAGTATTGCAGGCTGGCTCTGCCCATTGCCAGGAGTTTGATAAATACCCCCTTCGTAGTGCTTTAAAGCCCTCTCTCTGAGCGGTTTGCAAGGACAGCCTCTTGCCAACAATCTGGGTCCTCATTTTACCAACCTCAGAAGGACGGAAGGCTGAGTCCACCTTGAGCCGGTGAGGATTGAACTCCTGGCAGTGGGCAGAGTCAGCCTGCAATGCTGCACTCCAACCACCAGGGCTCAAAAGGATGAAACTGAAACGAGCAAAGAGAATTGGAAATAAAAGTGATGAACTCAGTTGGGGAGAAGCTGAAGTGAGGGAAAACAGGAAGGATTGTGATATCTCAAAGAGGGGAATTGAAACAGGTGGAATCCAAAGAGAGGTTGGTAAATAGCAAGGCTGAAGGTTGCCTATTAGGCTGAATAGTCAGATACAATTAGGAACACGCATCTGAATATTAATGTATCAAAACCCAAAATTTCA